GCGGAGCTAATTGAGAAATGTTTAAACGAAGGTACAGTAAACAAAAATTAATTCTTCATTATTAGGGTTGTTAATGGGTTGGGTTGGAGTGGGTTGGGTTGAGCTATTCCTCATTCCACTCCAACTTGGGTTGGACTCACTCTGGAGCCACTCCAGATTTGCTTATAGCTACTCCAGTTTACTCCAGTTTCACTCCAGCATATTTTTAATCCACTCCAACTTGGGTTGGTTCACTCCGGGGTTGCTCCGGAGTATGCCACTCCATTAACAACCCTATTCATTATGTATAATATATCCAAATACAGTATATCTGCTCACCTTAAATATTATATCAATATGTTAATAATTTATTTATAGGGTTCAAAAATTGTCATCAATTAGCTCTATTAGGTAAACCATGTTAAGTGTTTGAAAGTATTATTTATAAAATACTATAAGTGATTAAAATTTTAAATACTACATTGATACAGGGCATAGAAATTCACAATCTCTAACATCGCCAGTATTAAACGGTAAAAAATTATTTTTCATGAAATGCGTATTGATAATAATTTGATGCTTGTTTTTCACCTTAAATTCACATATATTTTTTTAATATTCCTATTTATCAAATAGGACCTCTCAAAAATATTCTAAAAACTTTACAATCATTATCCTCCCAGCTGGAAGAATTATCTAATGTGCAAACTAACGATCTAGAATCATTTCAGATAGACCAATTGTCTGGTGAGTAGCAAAAATTTTTGGTGCCCGAAACTATTGTTCATAAAGTATTACGAAGGCCCTATTCATTACAAACAATTTAACCTTAGGTTCGGAACCGGTTTTATTTTCATACGTTAAAACCAGGTTTTAATCGGTTGTGGCATATAAAAAATATAACCGGTTCCAAACCTAATTAACCTAACATCTCATAACGTGATACGGAAGGATATCTACGGTCAGTTTTTAAGGATAGTGCAAATTCACGTGAGTGTAGGACAGTTACGTATAATATATGACTCTCGTCAAAGTTATGAGCACACATTCATGATAAATTAGCGTTGTGTGCATATAATCCCCTTAACGTTAACACTAATGCTAATTCTGGTCATTGTTGTGCACATAAGCTCTTGAATGTATCTTGCCCAAAGATTTCACTCATGGATTTTAGTAATATAACGTGAATTTCCGGTCCTTGCTGTCCCAAGAACTGTCAGCAGACTTTCCATTACACATATAGCTATAGGTCTCGTGACCTTATCTACTTCTCTACCCGTAAGGTTGACTTGTGCATGTAAAATTTGAAATAGTAGAGCAAGTACCTTAGTGCAGAGTTAGCCTTCGTAAATACTTGAATATATATATCGGTCATAAACTAGTGAGATGATGCAAATTCTTGTATGAAAGCTAATATTTATTGCTCTATTATAAATATAGGTCAGTATTGTACATCTTCTCAATCTCCGAACCCTAATATGCAATGAGAGACAACAAATATGTTAGAATTTGGTTTGTAAATACATCGACAAACTAAATACCTGGCTTCTTTATCGATGAACTTATTTCCCACTCCTTTGGCAAAATCACATATACAAACACATAACGTGGTGAAATCTAAATAACGTCAACCTTGTACCTACTTTTTTGAACATGTTTTTTTTTTTTATTAATATTTAATATCGAAATTTTAGTATACGTTTTTACCTAGTAGATTTTTCAGAAAAATTTACTATACATACCTGGGATTTCTTCAACTCGATAGCACTCATATTTATATATTTTTGAATGTGTTTGAAGTTTAATTCCCAAACTATAATTTGCGTATATTTCTACGTAATATGGACTTATTTATATGTTTATTACACTTTTCATTTAAGAATACACACTTTAAGGAATTGTTAAATAAAAAATTTATGGAATTTTAAGGAATAATCAGGGAATATTAAGTGTCGAAAATGTATGTTATTTATCGTATTTGTCACATTTTTCCTTTGTATCGAGATCATAAAAAGCAAGTGCTGAAAGGCGGATTTCGTTTCCGAAAATTAGCTATTTTTACAAATTTGTTACACAAATTTACGGATACAGTAGCTTATTTCAAATTCCTTCACAATCACTTCACATTTCACCGCAAAGTAATTCTAACAATTGTATTAGGGGTCGGATTTAGTATTAGAGCGTAAGGGCGAAAATTTTCGATAGAAATATTGAGGTCATTAAAATTAATTGATACAATAATATTATATAACCACTCCGAATAATAAAAATATACTGCGCAGCATCACTATATCAAAGTATTACGTAATAAGCAAGTATACAATTAACCAATCAAATATA